TGAGTACAGAGCTACAGTGGGTTTCAGCCCTATTATCCATATTTAAAGCTACATGTTTAAATATCATCCTATATTCAGTAACTCACAGTTAATAATTTTTTAAACTTGTTCTAACACTCTGTTTGCAAAACTTTCAATGGTTTTCCTGAACAGTGCATGTAGGACCTATGTTGAAACTTAGATTAATTGAGGTTCCCCACAAGATTCTGGACTGCAGACAACTAGTAGTTGTCTAATCCTAAACACTATGTCTTTAATCGCTGAGTTGTCTACTAGTAATTGTGCAAAATAACATGATACCAATATAGAAGGAGTCTACTTAGGCTTGAAGGACTCAGTTTTCTGTGTCCAAGAGTGGAATGGATTCCATGACTTTTTAGTTCTGGAGGAAACCATAAAGAAGGCAGGAAGGGCATTGAGAGAGAATGACCGATGACAGGACATTTTTATTCTTTTATTCAAGTTCTTCCACAAGCTATAGTCTTGTCATCTTCTTCTCATATGAAACATGTTTAATGATTTCACTGAAATTACTTTTAACCCTTCCTGCTCAAAAAAGAGTAGGGATGTATTTAATCAGGTACAACTGAGGCTGCTTATACTAGTAATTAAGGCTCAGGAAATTACCCAAGCCTTAAGTTTCAAGAACAAATTCTTTTCCTTTGCTCTTCATATGTCATCTACAGTAATGTATGAAAAAGTCATGCATACTGTTTAAAATAGGAAAAATAAAACAGTTATATATGTGTATTAGGATTCTCTAATGAACAGGACACAAACACCACATGCACACACACAATAATAAAAAGGAAATGTAATAGATTGGTTCATAGGACCAGAATTTGATTTTCATCTGAGGCTGGAGAGCTAGTGGAACCAGTAGCTGATCAGTCCAAGAGCTGGAGCTTCAGAAAAAGATCCAGTGTGCGGCCTCAAGGAAAGCTTGGACACTCCCTGGAGAGTCATTGGTCACAGTCTGCTTTGGAAGTGAAGGAGCCAGATTCATGTCCTCATAGGATCACAGCAGCAAGCCAAGAACCCTCTCAAGAAAATTTGAGCTTACATCTGCATTGGTTTTCTAGTTCTTCCTCCCCTCTGTTCTCTTTAGGCCCCTGGCGTGTTACCCACATATAGGATGGTTCTCCCCCTTAGTTTGCTGTCCCACATGTCAGTCATTCCTGGAAACACCATCACCAACACACCCAAAGACTCTTAATTTTAGGCATCGACTAATCTAATCATGCTGGCTACAAAAATTAACCATAACAATATGGCATTAGAAAGGTAAGAATAGTGTATAATAATGCCACTTGGCCAAGATGAATAAGGTATACTGTGTCAATTACAATTTGTATAACTTATAATGTAATTATTTGAATGAAAAATACTTTTTTTAATTAAAAAATGTAATAAAAGACAAATAATGGTCCATATTAACTTATGAAAAAGCTGCATCACTATTTTCATTATGAGAATTCAATATAGACAACTATTAAATCTGTATTTAAGTAATTTTAATTTGTTTTATCTATGTAATATAAAGATAATAAAATAACATGCATCTTTTATATTTTTTTATAATGATGATTAATATTGATAAAATATTAATGCTGATTTCATGAATCATATATGAATTTACTTATGGAATACATTTTCAGGATTTTTGTATTTCTTTTTCTATAAGCTTAATATAATATTCAATGTCTATAAGGAACATGTTACAAGGAATAGCAATAAACATATTTCAGTACTTTTACTACCTAAGAATTAAAGTCTTACTAAGAGCACCATCCAGAACAATTTCTTAGTTTTACAATACACTCTTTCATTTTGCATATTTTATTAATTTCAGTTTTAAAAATTTTACTATATTCAGATAGTCTTAAGACACATTCCTGAAAAAATATTTATAAAATTCAAATTTGTTAGAAAAATTATTTCACTCAGTGATTATGTTGTTAACTGTTCCTTTCCTCTGTGATATAAATATACCAGTTACTATATCCATTTGGCTATTGTTTGAATGCTTGCATTTTCCTGATACTGTTGTTGCCATTAATTATACTCCTGGGATATGTATTCAGGAGTTTCCCCAATAGAATATCTAGGAAAATGCATGGATTTTTGGCATAAAAATACACTACCACACTAGTTACTCTTCAGGGTAAATTTATAGATTGTCTCATTGATTCATATTCAATCATACCTTTGTACAAGTTTTGTCAAAATTTATAATATTGTGTCAAAATGCAAAGTTAAAAGTTAATTTACTTTAATTAAGCCATATTTCTTTAAATGGTAATGAGACTGGGAAATTTTTCTGTGTTTATTTGTCATTCATATTACTCTTCTATTCAATGTAATTAATTTTTGCCTATGTTTACACTGGGCTGACACTTTGTTCTTCTTGTTACACTATTTTTTTATATTATAAATGCAAATTCTTTGTTAGTCATGTGCAACAAATATCGTCTAACCATTTTGTGACTTTCTTTCTGTTATTATATGGTGATTTGGAGGAATTAAAAAAAATAAGGTCACTTCTTAAGAAAATAATATATTTATTATTTATTTATTTTTATGTAGTGCTGAGGATCCAGCCCAGTGCCTAACATATGCAAGGCAGGCACTCTACCACTGAGCTACAGCCTCAGCCCAAGATCACATTTTAATATAATCTATCAATGCTTTTTCATGATTAATGCGTTTTGTGTTTTAAAATCTTTCATGTTATATAATGTCATGTATTAATACTGTTTTTTTTTCCTGAAATATGCATTTTTTTAAATAAAGTTGTCAAAATGTGTTTTATTTTTGCATGTGTAAAATAAGCTACACTTTATTATTTTGTTATTATTATGATGATGATAACAAGTTGTATGAAACCACCTCCTGATAAACTTATTCTCCCCCTGCCATTTTATGTAGTGCCCTCATTTTTTATCCCCACATTTCCATTTGCAGTGTGTCTGGACTTTGTATTATGTTTCTGTTTGTCTCTCCATTGGATATGGTGAGAGTGCCTTATGTTCTAATATCATATGGCACGTTGGCAGAACACAGAGCAAGCTTTCACCACGCTCCTCTTCTATGAGTCTAAATGGCCTTAGTGTGTATAAATCTTAGAATCAGTTATCAATTCCTATGGACAATTCTCATTGAATTTGTACTATATTACATTGAATGTACACATGCGTCTGGATAGTTGGTCTGAACATATGGTATTTTGTCTTTTAAACAAGAGACATAATATGTCTCTTAACATTTTTAATAATTTTAGTTGTTGGTGGATGCAATACCTTATTTTTTACATCTATTTTTATGTGGTGCTAAGGATTGAACCCAGTGCCTCACACATACTAGGTCAGCTCACTACCACTGAGCTACAACTGTGGATGACTTTTTTAGATCTTCTTTAATGAAACTAAGTAAAGTGTTACACATATAGATATTTTACATATTTTATTAGCTTTATTCTTGAATTACTTCAGCTGCTCTTAATTAATTCTTGTAGTTTTGCCCCATTAAGAATAATATAAGCTGTATTTCGTTGTTTGTGTTTAGGCTTATGGACATTACATTTCATTTCTTGATTTTTGTAACTGTTGTTGAGTGGTTATGTACACACATTTTTTTACTACTCCAAACCATTAAATTAATGTATAATTTTTATGTATTAAAAATTTCCTACTTTTCTTCTCTATCTCCCTCTTTTTTATTATTGTTGAATTACATAATTATTCTTAGAACTAAATGGATCCAGATAGATGTTTTTAATACATCAGTGCAGTTGACTTACTGTTAGTTCTTTTAATCTGTTGATATATCTCTCATTAGCAGGAATACCCAGTATTAGTATCAGAGTTTTACAAGATACTGATAGCAAGTTGTGGAATACTTCCCTTTTCTCTGTGGACAAGTCTGACATTAGTTTTTGCTTTGATTTTAGGTAAAAACATTCAGTTAACATTTTTCTCTGTGGAAAAATTTTCACTCTAAAATTTATTTTCTATAGGTATTATTTATATTATCTATTTCTTTTAGATTTCTCTGTGGAATTTTTTACTATTATTAACATCTTCTGTATAAGTATTTATATGTCACTTTTTCCTGATATTGTTAGTTTTCAGCTTCTCATTTGTGCTTTGATGAATTTCTCAACTTCATGTCTTTTATACTGATATTCTTAATGTATTACTTCTATGTTATAATTTTGATTTTGTATTATTTTTAGAAGATGATAGAAATATTAGTCATCAAAAAAGAAATAGAGTGCAAGTTATTGAGAGATATATTCAAATTTTCTATAATTAATTCTAAATCTCTAGATTTGACATGTAAAAATAATACCAACATTTATATTTTCCCTTAGAACATAGAATTACTATGCTCACTGAAAAATGAGAAGGCTAAGAATAAGACATATTTAGAAATATTGGAGATAGTATTTTGAAGTTTACCTGTATTATATGTAGATTCCATGCTAAATTCTGATTTGAAGTGTTCTTTATTTTTTCCTGTAACTTAACATTATGTATATTCCCCTATAAAAAGTAAACTATCATTTGTGTAAAGAAATTTCCATTTCTCTGAGTTTATTTAGATTGAGAACTTGAACTTTTTAAAGATTGTGATTTTTTTTAACAACTGCTGTGCTTTTCTTAGATTAATGATGAAACCAATTGTTCATCCCTTAGACTCTGACAGCATGCAATGAGTTCCGACAACTTTCTCCCACTCCAGTTCCTGAATAACATGTAATTTCCTTGATATGAAAAAATATCATTTTAGTATTCATGTCATGACTTGGTGTTCATTTTTCATTTTTCTGTAAGTTAATGAGTTCTAGCAAAGAGTGCCTTCATAAAGTTGTCTTTTGCCAAAAGTCCTGCTACAGCATATGGAGCTAGTGACAAGCCACAGTATTAAGGAGATTTGTTTTAAACCAAGCCTCCAAAGCATGCATGGAAATACTAAATACATCCCTGTGTGTTTTGCAGACAATCCTGATTTGCTGAGCCATGTCACAGTGGGTATTAGAGTTCTGGATGTCAATGACAATCCACCCGAACTTGCCAGGGAATATGATATTGGTGTCTGTGAGAATTCTAAGCCGGGCCAGGTAAGTTAATTGTTTCATTCCTATCATTTAAATGGAAGAAAAATAAGCAGCTTTATTAATATTATTCATAGGTATAATCCCCAAATCCCCCAGTGTAATTTTTGTACTTAGTGCAGATAATTTTATAAAGCTTTATTTTAAGTACCAAATAGATTTTTGGAGAGTCATTGAAAATAAATATTCTCTGCATCCTGTAATTCAGAACACTGAACTTATTTGTGCACAGTCCATTCATCATGCCAATAAAATTACATTGAGTGCTTTAGGTACAGCTCTGCATTAATAGAGGAAGAAATATTGAACTCCCCTGTCATAATGAAGCTTAGAGACTGTACTGGGTGGACAGGCTACTTGCTCTACTGTAGAGAATCCAAAGGAGTGACATAGGATGATTGAATGAGGTTAATATTAAAAGTTGTTTTAGGTTGAACAATGTGAAGAGTTGATATGCACTAATAGGATGTAGACAGTGAAAAAAGAAAATTTGAAGGTAGGACATGGGGCTGGACTTACTGGGGCATTCATTTGAAGTAGTGGGGACACTGAAGGAAGGCTAGTGTAGCTGTGGCACACAGAGATGGGGGGAGACTAGAAAGGGAATTTGAATGCATCTTCTCTGCTGTATTAAAAAAAATGCCGAATCCACAGGTTATAACAAAAAGGTATTTATAACCTCACAGTTTCTGTAGATCAGACACCTATGCATGGCTTGGTTTGGCCCTGACAGGGTCCCACAGGATTGCAATTAAGATATCATGCAGGGCTTTTTTCTCATTCAAGACTTGGGGATCCCATATAAACTCCTGTGGTCATTGGCAGTATTCAGTTTTTTTTCCAGCTTTATACCTAAGTTTCAGGGTTTTTCTTAGCTGTTCAAGCCTTCTCACAGTTCTAAGATGCCACCCAGGGTTTCTTGTTATATAAACTCCCACAATATAGCCACTTACTTTATTCAGCAAGTAAATGGAATTTCTTAGATTAGTCTGCTAGCAAAATGTCTCATGTATTATAATGTAATAAGCTAAAGATACATTGATATTGTTGCATATTGATGCATGTTTTCTGGTCAAAAGCAAGACAGGTTATATCCTCTTTTATGGTAAAGGAATTGAGGAACCCATTGGTTGTGGGTACCATAAAGTCTATATGACACAGAAAAATCCAGAGAAGTAGAAAGATTCTAAGATCATCAGAGAGAGACAGATTTTGTTACTGTCTTGGCAAATCAGAATGGGCATATCATCCAAAATTACTTTAAATCATTTTAAAACTAAAGAAAATATAGTAAAAAATGTATTGCTTTTTATATTTGTGCATGGAGAACAATCAACAGTTAAAATGATCATTACTTATGTGATCAATACTTCCAGAGGATGGAGATAGATAGATTAATAGGTAGACACACAAACAGATAGACATACATACATACATCAGGAAGCACCCAGAACCAGAAACATTTCAGAGACCTCTGACCAGGAGCATGAGCAGCAAACTTTTATAGGTCAAACCGAAGTAGGTAGAGAAATCTCTTGATTGGCTAGAGCTAAACAGTTGCCTTCCTTCTGCAGGGTCTGATGAATTTGCTGCCTGTGAGGGGCTGAAACTCAGATATTTGTGATTTCCTTAATTCAATGAGCTGAGAATTATAAAAGTAAGGTTAATGATTCCCAGTGTTTTGGCACATGCCCATAATTCCAATTACTTGGGAGGTTGAGGCAGGAGAATTTTAAGTCCAAAGCTAGTTTCAGAAACTTAGTGAGATCCTATTTCAATATAAAAAATAAAAAAGTCTACAAAGATAGTTCAGTGGCAGAACATATCTGTGTTCAATCTGCAGTACTGGAAAAAAAAATACTAAATATTGAAATTAAAAGTTTAAATTTAAAAATACAATAATTGAAATTGTAACTCAATTGTTGATAATAACAGCAAGTTAGACATAGTTTAAGAGAAAACAAATGAAACAGAAAATAGGTCAAACTTAATATCCTTGTTGAAGAATGGAAAGGAAAACAAAGAAAATATAAATAAGAGTCAATATATGGGACATGAACATTTAACATCCATTATTCAATTCTCGGAGTCAAGTAAGAAAGAGAAGATGGGACAGAAGCAATATCTGAGATAACAGTATGGAGGTTTTATAAACAGAGGGAAAATACAAAGTCAAACACTCAAGTAGCATTGCAGAAAACCAAACAAACAAACTAAGCAAGCTTTCCAGAATGATAAAAGTTCCAGGTTTATTCCAATAGAACCTCAGAAAATCAAAAACATCCAGAGATAAAATAAAACGTAATACCAATTGAAGAAAGTATTAGAGAAAAACTCCAGGACCTAAGGACCAATATATAATCTTAGATTTGACACCAAAAAGTATGACAGACGACAACATTGGTAAATTGGACTTCATTATTGTTGTTGTTGTTATTTTAGTCTGTGAAATAACCTGTTACCAGTATAAAAAGACACATTACAGATTTGAAGTAAATATTTAAAAATAATGTATCTAAGAATTAGCATTTAGACAATGAAAATATATTTTCAAAATTGAACAGCTACTATTTAATAACACAATTTGAAAGTGGGGAAAATGTATGAACAGACATTTCACAAAAGATATATGGCAATAGGAATGTAAAAAGTTGTTGAAAAGCATTAGTAATTAGGTAAATATAAGTTGAAGACACAGTGAGTGATCATCACCTTTCAGAAGAGCTAAACTTTAACAAATGCCTGTGAGATGTAAAAAAATTAGATCACTCATACATTGCTGGTGGAAGTGCAAAGTGGTTCTGCTTCTCTGGAAAACATTTTGACAGTTTGTTAGGAAACAAAACATTGGAATTGACACACAGCCAAGCAACTTCGTCCTCAGGCATTTCACCCACATAAACGGAGACTTTTGTTCATACAACACAGTTTACATAAGTATATATAGAACATTTATTTCTAATATTTTTCCTTTATACCCACACATAAATACTCTTCTCAGGATGAAGTACTCTAAAAGATTAGGGGCAATGATTACAGCAATTTATAAACATTTCAAAAAATCAGAAAAGGAAGGAAATATTTTTGTACTCATTTTTAATGAATATGTAAATAATCTATGATGTCATAAACATAATTTATGACAACATAAGCATAATTTTAGTATCAAAAGCTGAAATACCATCTGACTTTACATCAATGACCATATATATAAATATTTCAAATAAAATATACACAAATTAAATAAACCAAAAATAGTTACTTAAAATCAGTGGAAAACCAAAGCTCAATAGGTCACTATAAAGTATTTAACAAATTTCAACACCCATTATTAATAATAACAAAAGCAACAACAATAGTGATAATGCTGCTAAATACTGTTTCAGTTTTTTTATGTGAAATTGACACAATTGCTGAGTACAGCATGAAAGTGAAGATATTACTTATATTTTTAAACTGTAATTAGAAAATAAATTTCTATACTGTATTAGTTAATAGCGTGTTAACAAACAAAACAGCTAAGAATAAATGCTACCATTTCAAGATGCAATAAGTCCTTACAAAGATCAACCTTTAAATTTAGATCCTCAGTACTTCCTCTTTTGCTCTAATTAGGGCAAGCTATATTCCATGCTTGTATGTCAAAACATACCCTAATGTTATGTATAAGTAAGAGAAACTAAGAAAGGTTGAAATATTAAAACAACAACAAAAAAAAAGCTTAGGTCCTTACCCTCAATGAATATCTCATTGGTTTGTATGTCAGAGATCTAAAAATTGGTAAATTAATTTTTTTGAATATGATATAAAGAATCAAGTATAGGGACTGGGGTTGTGACTCAGAGGTAAAGTGCTTGCCTAGCATGTGTGAGGCACTGGATTTGATCCTCAGCACCACATAAGAATAAATAAAATTATTGTGTGCACCTACAACTAAAAAATAAATGTTTTTTTTGTTGTTGTTGTTGTTTTAAAGAATCAAGTATAGGTTAATGTTCACTTCAGGAGTTATTAGACATTTTTCTTATTGAAATATTTAGCTATGTATAAATAAACTGTTTTTCTCCCAAGATCATTTCAGTGCCATGTATGTTCTTGTACTATGATGCAGCTAATGCTTGCTGGTATATAGCCACCATTGGAGACTGCTGAAAATCTGAGCAAATGGTATCTTGCCCTACCTCTTTTTTCAGTTGTTACTTTTTTCTGTGTATTTGAACAAATGTTTCCAAATTTAGACTATTGGCTCAGTTTTCTGGCCTGTGATACTGACTTTGTGGGCCCACCATCTTGGCTACTTCTGTCTCTGAAAGTTCACTTTATCATTATCTCTAGGACACGTCCTTTCTCAAAGTTACCTCTCTAGTTTGAGTCTTCTGTTTTACTGTTCACGTTGATGGCCTCAGCTATGTGGCATTTCTGAGAGAATTTTATATAGCATAGAAAAGTGCTGTCTTCATCTCCAAAATGAAGACAATTGTCAGAATTTTAGGGCTTCCCTAAACCTAAAATTCTATGAGTTTATGACTAAATAAATTTCAATTTTTTTAAAAAAAAATATAAGTTACATTATTACATGAAAGCCATCATAATTTTGGGAAAGAACTATGCCATAACCTGCTTATCTTAGTTAGTACTCACTGAACATGGTGTAGTTATTTCACAAACCATTGTTTGAAATTCTTCACTATTCTTATTCTGCATCTTTCGTTGGATATTTATTATTGGTTTTAAGAGAGCTATCACAAGGCTTAGCACCTCTAAATTCTAATATATTTTGATAAAATTTTGCGGTTACTATTTTAGCCACCAATTTTGCCCTTCAAATTTTAGAATGTTCACATGTGAGTATAATTAGATTTTTTTTGTGTGTGTGTGCTAGAAATTGAACCCAAGAGGGGCACTTTTTATTTTTATAATTTTTATTTTTATTTTGAGACTAGGTCTTACTAATTTGCTTAGGACCCAATAAGTTGCTGAGGTTGGCCTGGAACTTACGATCGTCCTCCCTCAGGCTCCAGAATTGCTCGATTGTAGGCATACACCACAATCCAGGCTACAATTATGTTCTTTGTATTGTTGTTTTAACAATTATTTTTAACTTTTTACATCAAAATAAAGTTGTACTTTGATGTAAAAAATCATTTTAAAATATTGCTTGTGACAGCTATATTTAAACAAATCATTACCAAGATATGTAGCTTTGTTATTAAAACATTGCAGAAGAAAATGGTCTGGACTTTTCTAATGTTTAATTTTATAGACTTTGAATCCTTCAACCTTATGTTAACAGCATTTTTGGAAGAAATGTGTTTTGACTTTATGTGTTTTGATGCAGAGTTGGAATAGGAAACGGTTTAAACAATGATTTCTGAAATAAGATTTTAAAGTGGGTTTGCATTGCCCAACTGTACAACAAATCTTCTTTCTCTGACAATGGCTTTCAGAGTCGCAGATATTTCTATTATGAATGCTGTACATCTAATCCATCACTGTGTTGCCATGGCAAAGAGATTGGCCTTTTATGAAAGTTACCACCACATACAACAACAGACTTCAGGTCAACTCAGATGACAATGTAAACAGTAAATGATAGTTCTCAGAGTTAATGTGTTTTCCCATTCTGGAAAAAAAAAATCTTTTAAGTACTTTTCCTGAAGTAATATTAAAAATAATGCCACATGTGCATGAAATTTGAAATCAATTCCTAAAGTAGAGTGTTTCTTTTAGGTGTACCAAATATACCTAAGTGAGAAACCTTAAATAAGACAGTCCTTTCTAATATATGTGTTAAGTTTCATCTGTGCTGTTTTTATTTTTCATTAGAAAGAATCTCTGAAAATATTACATGAAAATCATTTTATTATATGATAATAACTGCTGCTACTTTACATATAATTTTAACAACTATGTAACTTTGTATGAAAAAATAAGCCAGGTAAATAAAACTTTTATAAAGTATAAATACGAGATAATTGAACTCACAGAAATTCATATTCTTATTTAATAAATTTATACAGAATCTCTTCAATATTATATTATAAAGCAAACTCATTGATTAATTTAGAAACAATGTTGTATATTTCCTAGAACAGACAGTATAGTACTTAAATTTATAACACTGATTTTTATTTCTAATACAATACTCTCACAGTATAGGATTGTGGAAAATAAATTTAAAAAAACAATCACATTTACTAAGATTATTATCAGTTTATTTCCTGCTTATTATTTATAAATCTGAACTATCAATTTGATTTTCCCTCTTTGACTTTGAAAAGTAGACTAAATGTGTGACTCTACATCTGTTATACCATTCTAAATAATCAAATTATTATAATATGTATTAACTAGATCATGAGTATATATTAGGAAATTTTTGGGTGATGTTCAAAGAAATGAAAATCAAATATGAAATTTTAAGGCATTTCAGGTTACAAAGTAATTTTACAGAGAGCACAGGTATCACAATGTGCATAAATTACAACTCTGGTAACAGAAGATCCTGGGTCATAGAGAATTGGCAATTATCTAGGTATCTCTTAGAGATATCTCTAAAATCACAAACGTGCAAATTTTCCATGTACATTTTCTGTAAAAATTCTGAAATAATAATAACAAAAATCCTGCTTTCTTAATGAAATGAAGAAGGCAATTCATAAAACAGAAAAGTTGAATATGATATCTCAGACCAAGAGAATATCTTAGGATTCAGGACAAAAGCAGACCTATCATTTCAGGTTTTTGAAAACATTTTGCAGAAATTTTAAGTAAAAATTTAACTTATATGACCATTCATTCTATAAATGTTAATGATGAATGGGATATTCTAAAGCAAAATGTAGTAATTGAAACATTGTTTCTTATGCTAAATGGACTGGGGATTTTTTTCTCAAGGAGAACAGATCTGTTTTAAGCACACGCCCTATTAGGGTCAGATGTGAATGGTCTATATGTATCTGTATAAGAATGGAAGGATGCTTTGGTAAAGATCACACACACACACAAACCCCAATATTAAAAATGAAATATAAATTATATAAGTCTACCATATTGAATAATCTCACATTTGTAAAAACATTAGGAAAACATTTAAATATTTATAAACTAATGGATAGAAAGGGAAACAATGCCAAAGACCTAAAAACAGCATACTACAGGGACACAGCCACATCAATGTTTATAGCAGCACAATTCACAATAGCTAGACTGTGGAACCAACCTAGATGCCCTTTAATGGATGAATGGATAAAAAAAAATGTGGCATATATACACAATGGAATATTACTCAACACTAAAAAATAACAAGATCATGTCATTTGCAGGGAAATGGACGGCATTAGAGCAGATTATGCTAAGTGAAGTTAGCCAATCGCTAAAAAAACAAATGCTGAATGTCTTCTCCAATATAAGGGAGGTGACTCAAAATGGGGTAGGGAGGAAGAGCCTGAGAAGAAGATTACCTCTAGATAGAGAAGAGAGGTGGGAGGGAAAGGGAGGGAGAAGGGGAATTGCATGGAAGATGGAAGGAGTCACTCATTGTTACACAGAATACATGTATGACAACGTGAGGAAAAAGAAAAAAAAACTGTGTCACATTAGATTGGGTAGAGAGAAGTGATGGGAGGGGAGGGGAGAGGAGGGGAAGGAGGGAATGGAAGAACAGCAGAATAAAATAGACATTATTATTGCTGTGGGTATATACGTGACTGCATGACCAACGTGATTCTACAACCTGTACACTCAGAAAAATGAGAAATTATACCCCATCTGATTCAAATGTATGATATGTCAAGATCATTGTACTGTCATGTGTAACTAATTAAAACAAATTAAAAAAAAAAAAAAAGAAAAGGAAACAATACTACACATGTGATAGCAAGAAACATAAAATAGCTCATTCCCTCTGAATTATTTTTCTCCATCAATATCTCTGAGATCTATTCTGGGATAAGAAGTGAATTTGCAAATGCATCTTCATGCTATAATGTGTCATAGAGAAAACAGGACAGCAAGTTGCGGAAGCACAATGAATGAGGAGTAGGGCATGGAAGGATGTTTCTTTTTGAAACAAGGGAAAACAGAGAGAAAGCTATGTGTTTCTGCATGTGTATATGTGTATGCTGGTATGTACCACTGTGGGCCATGGGGATGGGTTAAGAGAGTTATGTTTGCTTTAAATAAGTGTATTTATTTAACTCTGAAAACAAATTAGACAAATTGATTTTGTCTTTATTTCAACTATATACTAATTAACTGATGTGCAGAGAATGTAAGTACAGCTCTCAATTGGCAGGGCACTCTGAACTCTATTTGAAGCTTTTCATGCACTTGAGGAAAATGGTCAGATTGTATCCGATTACCCATCATACATTCTCCTACTCAGAGGCAAAACAAATGGGAAAAGATCTACCTAGAGAGTAGTTGCTCTTTAAATGGAAGAAGAAAGTTCACCATCAACCACATGAAGTTTTCGGCTTCAAAATGTGCAGGAGTGAGTCTTGGGACATGTGGAAGAAGGTGATCCCTTCCACATCTGGAAGCACTTGGTGACTGTCATTTCCTGAGCACAAATGCCTTTTCTGTTTTCCCTCCCCCTATCACTCTTCTGAAGTACTTTTTCATGCCTTCATCTTCTTCTAACTAATTGTCTCAATATGTGGAGAAGATTTGGGTTTCAACAGTGACAATGTTAGATGAATTATTTCTACTGTAAAATATTTAAATTGGATAAAATATTTTTATAAACAATATCACATTTTGCAATTGACATAATACATTTCATAAGCAGAAAATACAAACTTATTGTTTTCTTTTTCCTCTCTTTGTTTTTAATTTGTCTAATGCATGGCAGGAAAAAAAATAAGGAGACACATAAATGTTTAGGATATAAAATTTTAAGGGAGAGAAATATCGTTTTGTTTATTTGCTTGGGTATTTGTTTTTAAAACTACAATGGCCACAGCTACTAGAATTTGCTTTGATCTTGTACCACTAGAAATGATTTATTTATATACTCTAATTTAGTGTTCTCCTTAAGGTGCACTGAATCCAGATTTTAGATTTGTTTTCTCTTGACCACTAAAGAAGAGAAGTTCTTGATAAATCACCAAGGGTTCTGGTTTTGCCTCTGCCACTATTTCAGAGATTTGGGACATAGCATGATATTTGTGAGACTCTGGTTGTTCACCAATAAAGTACAGGAATTGGATCAAGATCTCAAAGGCCTCGCAATATATATTTAAAAAAAAAAAAATTAAGCATCCACTGCTTTTGTAATTACTGACAGAAACCCACATATACTGAGAGACTGTTCTACATCAACACTGGGGTGTTTATTTTTGTGCAAACAATGCTTTACATCTCTCTAAAGAGGCATTCACACAAAACTTTACATCTAATTGGCCCCAAGGTATTATGAGTATTAACAAATATTTTAAAGTATCTGTACTCTGGTAGAAAAAAAATCTGTAAATGAGTATAAACTATAATAATTTTTTTCCTTCTAAAATCCAATAAAATGGAGAACAAAGTAATTGGTGCTTTCATGAGTTTAACTTTAAACAATTGATTTGGAAAAAGAATCTTTAAAAATCTTTGTAACAACTAAAATTATATGGCATAATTAAAACCAAGGGAATAAGCCAAATTAAATTTACTATTTAGTATGCTTCTCTTCTTTAGGTTATTCATACCATCAGTGCCACAGATAAAGATGATTTTGCCAATGGACCAAGGTTTAACTTCTTTCTCGATGAACACCTATCTATCAACCCAAACTTCACCCTTAAGGACAATGAAGGTGAACATAAATATATTTTTTTCTGTGTGTTTTTTGCTATGACTTAATATGGAAGATGCCTGATTAGTTTTTCTTTATTCTTATATACCCACAAACAGCTTGAAAATCAGCATTCAGTGTCGAGTTGATGTTAATGTGTTATGATCTGTGAATAGCTTGTATTTAAAATTGAGCCATATGTACAAATAGTTTTCTTTGAATTTATTCAGAAGCATTCCTTTAAACAAGAAATACACAAGTGATATGCTCTTGGGCAAATTTTAAGAGAAATCTAAGCTGACAAAAATGTTTATGCGAGTTGCTACAACTGCTAGGAGGTAAAAATATTTAAATTAGAAAAAATGAAAAATATATTCTAGAGACAGTTATGAATGGAAATGCAATGTTTGAAATCATCTATATTAGCAAAGCTATCAGGAAATATATGCTGGGGAAATTATATTTCCTTCTGTTGTTAGGAACATTTTCCAGAGTGTAGGTGGAAATATGCATAATTGTGAGGTGTTATGGAAGTTTTAAAAATCATTTTTGTTTAATATTCTGTTTTGAGGGGAGGAAGAAATACCATAATTTAGTAACTAAGAAGATTCATCATTATTTGGGTATTTTATTTGGTGGATTCCTCATAATCTAGACAAATAATAAGCCATTCAGTTTGTGTAGCTTTCTAATTAGCATCAACATTTTCCTCCAAATTAACTTTTATCATGATTTTTTTTTCATGCTGGGGATTGAATACAAGGGCACTTAAGCACTGAGCAACATCTCCAGCTTTTTTACTTACATATGTATTTATTTAGTTAGTTAGTTTAAGACATAGTCTTGCTAAGTTGCTTAGGGTCTTTCTAAATGGCTGAGGCTTGTCTCCAACTTGTGATCCTTCTATCTTAGGATCCCCAGTCTCCGGGATTGCAGGCATGCACCATCATACATACTGATCATATTAATCTGGGTACTGTTGAGATTTAATAATTGCCTCAAATTGACATGAAGGAAAATGTTACATAAATTGTGGAATCAACATTTAATTTTCTTTTGGTACACTTCTACAAAAGCATTTTTGCCATTATCCTTGAGTGTCTTTAAATTTTACTAATGAGTATATACTACAATGTGAATGCAGCCATAGGGTTCATATGAAATACACATCTTCATTGTCTCTCCCATTTTAAGTAGCCTCATGGTCTACTCTGCTTATAAGGATATATATTTGTGTAGGATAAATTGCATTTAACTCATCATTGTAAATTTACTTACATCTGAACATCCTATGCTATAATCCACATATGTTTAGTATATAAACATGTGAATTTAAAAAAAAATTCAGATTTTCCTGCATTCCAAATAAATATATAATTGGAGGTAGCATTTAACTTTCTGCCTTAGTAGACTGAAATCATATTCCTTCAAACTATGCACTCATTGATGAAAGGATATATGTGTGATTTCTTAAGCAACTATTTTGTTCAAGCAAATGAATGCTTAAACTGGTTAATCTTTTTCAAGTGAGAGGAGCCTGTCGACAGTTGTATAAGGATGTTTTAAAATATTAAAAAAATATATCTTATAGCTTTTGAGGGTTCAATAAATTATAAATAATAAACAATTTACCTTCAGTAGAAAAAAACAGTAATTCTCTTTAAAAATTGTATTAATGCATAGTTTAAAATGTGCTTCAGCAGAATGTCTTGGTTGCACTATAAAAGCTCAACTGCTTAACCTCTTGAGCCTCAGTTGTGACATGGATTATTCATAATTAGAAATACTTCTAAGTCACCTTAGAAGAATTAATTGTATATAAATGAATTAGAATAATATAGTTTATTCACAAAGAAGACAATTATTAATAATAGTGTAAAATATTCAAATTAGAAATCCAATACTCCTGTAACTGGGGTGCTTGAGCATTATATTATATGAATTCATAGACATTCACACGCCCCTAGAACATAAAATTCAGTCCAGAAGAAAAAAAAAAAAAAAACTTAAGACCGTTATGTTTTTGAGCCTACTGCTTAAATGAAAGTGCATATTCAGAGACACAAAAGAAAGCACACACAGTCCCCAAGCCAGGGCATCTAATCAGAAAGCCATAGTTTAGCAACATATCCAAATACTTTATGGAAAGGATGAGGTAAGAAACACAGATATATCCAAACAGCAGAGAAAGAAATGTATATTGCTGTGTATGATAAAGATGAAGAATTTTAATTTTCAATAGGGAGTTAGATTAAAAAATATATATCAAAAAATAAATTCACTCTAAGTAACAAAGATACTCATAAATGAAAAGCATTTCAATAGAAATATTTAGTGTTCTGAAAATAAAGAAATAATATCTTTATTCAAAGAAAAAGGAATTAGCTGGGCACAACTGTACTACTTGGGAAACTAAGTCACGAGCATTGCTAGTTCCAGGCCAGCCTCAGAAATTTAGCAAGACACCTGTCACAAAAAGTAAAATAAAATAAAAAACGTTGTGGATGTACCTCATTGACATATAGCCATCAAAACTAACATACAAACAAAAACAAATCAGAAATACTTTAGATAAAATGAGAACAATTATAGAAGACAAATATATGTATAAATAATTGGAAAATATTTATCAAAATAAGAATGAAGTTTCTAAATGTATTGTAAACTATATAAAACTACATGGAGAAGGATATAGAAATTTATATATATATATTTATTTATGTAAATTTATATATATATATAAATTATAAATATTTTATATAATTTATATATAAATTATATATAATATTTATATATAATGATATATATATATATTATCATTTATATAAATGATAATTTATATATTATATATATAAAATATATAAATTATCATTTAATAGTAAATTATCATGTGTGTATAAGTATACATATTTTGATGATATATCCAAGTGCATGTATACATAGACTATATATCAATTATAACTATATTCATTAAATATATAGGAATTATGAATAACTAAGTAAATAATTAATAAATTTGAAATATATGGTTAGGAATAATACAGATGAAATTCAGAAATGTGGTCAACTGTGGGTGGAAATGAGAAGTGAAATCAGGTGGATAGTAAAATATTTATGCAATGTCTTATTTTTCTGAGACATATCTAAACAAAAGTAGCATTATAATATATATAAAGTTTGAGTGGTAGTATTTTCTTTTAATTTCTGTATGAGTGAAAAGTTTCACTAAAATAACTAAAGCATGTTTGTAGCACAAAATAGGAACTCACTTACTCAACTAGTGTGAACCTGAACACTATTTATGTCAGTTTCTCTAAGTGTTGATCTCTTCGCAAGTATAGTCAGGATCTATTTCCTGCCCTCAAAAACATCTCATGTGATACAGTGATCACACATGGAATGGTACAGAGAATAAGCATGATGCACAGTAAGGACAGATAAGATATATGCCTGTTCTGGAATAAGATGAGTGAAATTTATCAGAATAAGGGCAGTGGCTAAAAGTTTTAGACAAAAGATTGGAAGTCACAAGGTCCTAAGGTGGGAAAAATCACAGGAGTAGACCAGGATTAAAATTTCACGTGATGTCAAAAGCTATAGAAAGTGGACATAAAATTAAGAGGTGGTGAAAGGGGCAAGCTGTAGTCACTTTCACAGTTTCTTAGACTATGGAAATAAATCTTCCAGTCTTCTCCATTTTTAAGATTTCAATCATAACTGCATGGAAAGTATGGAAACTATTTAAGGGAAACACTGTAATTTAGTGTGTCATGCCTTAAGACCTGAAGATTTTCCTCTTCATGAATCACAGTACCACAACTTCTTCAAATGTTTATATCCTCTCCTCAGAGTGCTTGTATGAGACAACAATTTTCCATAGTTGGTGTGTTAGTCATCTTTTCTATTGCTGTGACCAAAAGACCTGACAAGAACAATTTTAGAGGAGTCAACATTTATTTTGGGTCTCAGTCTATAGATGGCTGTCACCATTCCTAGGGTTTCAAGGTGAGGCAGAGCATTATAATGGAAGTGTGTGGAGGTGGGGAGCATCTCTGAACATGGTGACTAGGAAGCAGAGAGAGAGAGAGGGAGAGAGGGAGTTCCCAAAAGGCACACACCCAGGGAACTAGAGTCTCAGCCACACCCTACCTACCTACAGTTACCACCTAGTTAATCCCTATCAGGTGATTAATGTACTGATTAGGTTAAATCATTCATAACCCAATTCTTTTACCTCTAAACTGTCCTTATTCAATCACACACAAGCTTTTGGAGGACATTACACAACTAAACCATAAAACCTGGCATTCATCCTTTCCTGCCTTGTAAGCAAAAGCATTAATTACCCTTTGGTTCTAGACTACAGCTTCTAAAATATCTGTGTAATAAATAGCCCTGGAAGGTTCAGGATGCCTTTTAAGAACAAAGGATATTTTTATTTTCTCTGTAGTTGAATGAGGATAAGGACTTATTTAAAACACTTTTTGGGCATGTTTGCTTGCAATTCATTACAAATGATCTATGATTTCCAAACTCAAGATTCTTTAGCAGGCATACAAACTCATTGTGTGCACACAGTGCTCCTGGACTCTTGCACCTCACTATTTTCACCCTAGATTGCTAGGGAATTTATATGAACAGTGTCTATGCTGTTGATGTGGACATGAGGAAAAATTCCTTCATCTCTGCTCCAGGAACATGTGTCTTCCCCAGTCACCTTAAATTATGGTAGGTTAATTTATTAGCTTGAAAGCTGAAAAAAATCTCAGATAAGACCTTTCACAATTATTAATACATCATTGAACTAAACTGTACTAGAAACTTCTGTAAAAGCGTCTATATATTTATACTTATTAATATGTGTATACTATGCTAATTCCAGAGGCAGACATTTAGAGTATTTATGCCTAGTAACAATAAGGTAGCTAATTTCTTCAAACCAACTAAAAAGATCTTCATTCATGTAAACTCTGACAGTATTCCCTGTGTAATAGCCAGAACAACTTGCAAAATAACCAAAT